CTTGTCTCCTAAACAAATTTGTCTACTTTCTTCAGAAAGAACAACTACATGTCAAGTCAAAAGGTGTTATGAGGCACCATCTTTGGCACTATATAGAATTATTCCCTGGAGATGATGCAGTAGCTTTAAAATTTCGCAAGCAGGGGAGACCATTAATGCATTTATTTCTCCATAACACAAATACTTCTACATTAGTATGATATATAGAAACCCTTATTGTTTGGACTTGTGAAATGCTTTGAGATTATTCAGACGATTTTGACATAATTTAAGTTTTAGTATTAATTAGATCAGAAGACTAGGATGAGAAGTGGTCTCTAAAATATTCCTCAAGATAGAGAGTTATGGGAAATTCAGAGAATGTGTAAAAACTCTGGATTCTCTGAATGGACCAGTCCCAGAGCTAGCTCCAAACCTGTATGACCCTGTTTCCAGGGTAAAATACTTTGGGATAAGTAGGCAGAGAGGAAGATAATAGCTGAGATCTATCTGGAAACTCAGAATTCTTCGTATATTTACTTAAGAAATTCAAAAGAACTTTTCTGAAATATATTTTACCTTTGTAGGTGCCTTTGAGCTCATTCGGATTTTAGCCTCTAGAACATAGTAGTTATATCATAATTTTCATACAGTTTTTAACAGGTGGGCATAAATACAGAGAGGATAAGAAACTCAAAAGGGCCAATGAGATTAAATATTATATATTCACAATATGTACATACATATACATGTATGCACAGATACACAATTCCATAATTAGCTCACCCTTATTTAGTATGCTCTTGATTGGCTGGGCCACCCAGAAGTCTGGTGCCCCCTGGTGGTCACTGAATCATCACAGATCTCTTGACACCTAAAATACCACTGGATTAAGAATTGAAAAATGGAAAGACTAGAAAACTTGAAAGCATGTAGAAGTGATTTGAATAATTTAATCCAGGTCTTCTTATAAGCACTGACAATTTATGGAAAAATTAGTGCAGGTACTGGAAACAAAGGACCTTCTCAGGCAAAATCAAATTTGAAAAAAGAAATTATTAAGAATAGTAAATTTAAGTTAAGTGATTTTGAGTATTTTGTGCCACATTTCCCCTGTCATTTTCATGTCTTTTAATATCAATCCAATAATAAAATTCATTTGAGTCAACACTTGATATTTTAAGTGATCAGAAAATTTGAAAGGAAATTTGAAGGGAATTCTTACAATTTTTATCAAGATAATACTTTTAGTTGTTTAAGCTATCTTAAATCAACCAAACAATTGCAGTTGAACAGTTATGATAATAATATTCTGATCTTTTTCCCACATATCTGACCTTACAAAAGTAAGTGGAATTTCATAAGGACACAAAATACGGTCATGACTATTTTTATTTGATTCCTGATTTCTGATTTCCTGTACTATTAGCAAAATCTGAAGCTGAGAAAAATAAGTGAAATTATTACTATATCTTTGAGTTTAGCTTTTATACAATTCTTACATTAGACTGCAAATAAATATTTTATATACAGTACATAAATCATGCTAATGTAAATATGTAAATGATTTTTCTGCACAGTGGAAAGATTGCTTACATGTTGACTGAATTCACAAGTAGAGAACCCAATATTTTATATAATATCTATTAACTGAGACATAATGTTTCTTTTCTGTTTATAATTAGTTTATTCTACATAGTACTTTTCGTAATTCAGTTTAAATTACCCCTTTTTCTGTGATGAACTTGCATTTTCACATTGTAAATACATTTATAAATGTATTTAGACAGAAAATACCAAAGTAGTAGGTTGAGAAACAGCCCTTTGGTTTCATTGTTGTTGTTGTTAACTGTTTACTTTAAGAGCCTTGGATTTGTAACTTGCTGAAATCTCCAGTTGTTTCTTTACCCTGTAAAAGCACATTACTACACACACACACACACACACACACACACACACACAGCCTGTTCTTTTATTTGAAAATTCATAGAACTTACTCCCTGAAGTTATTATAATTTACTTCTAAATAACTATTTCTGTGATAAAATCAGAGGATATTTCCTAGAGGTACTAGTATGCTGAATATTCGTGTTATTATAATAAGTTAAAAGAAAATAGCAGCTGTACCTTCATTTGGGAGGGATATCTTGAATTTACCAATTTATTTTCACAAATGTACATTTATGTGTAATTAGTAGTAACTGTATAACACAAAGGATATAAAAATTGGAAGTATACTCCTTGCATCAGAAGACAGGTATTTTTTTTTTCATTCCAATGCATTTTATGATAGATGTTATAAAGGAGGAGATATACATACAAATATTTTAGTTTTAGACTCTTTTTTCATTCATTTAAAATTTGCTAAGTGCATGTTGACTTTTTGAATTGCATTGTACAATGAATACATAAAGACTGAAACCTGTTTTCAGAATTTATGGTTTATCTCACTTGTGTTGGTTATTTACATCATTTGGTACCACTCAAGAAAACTGATTATTTTTTAATTCAACTTAAACCTATACACACTTTACTTTTCTCAAATTTGTTCTAGAAATATTATGCATAAAATAGATATCAAGCTAAATAAAGTTTTTTTCCAATTGATTTGAGAAATTCACCATTGTTACTTTAAAATCTGAAACAATTTTGCTATTTTTTTACTTCAGTGGCTTTATGTAGAAATAGACTTATATGCTTTACTGCTAATCAAATACAGTATATGTTTGTACATTAAAACATATGTTGCATAATATTGTATAATACACAATCTCTTCTCGACTGTCATTTTTTAATCAAATGCTGTGACTTCCTTATCAATATGCTGATACACTACAAAAGAAAGGTGTTTGGTAAATGTAAAACTGCATATTATTGTACAGTTCTGCAGGGAGAACAGTCAGCAGCCTGGCACATGTATAGTTAATGAGAAGCTTCTTGTCTCTAAAAATAAAATTGGGTCTGCACATGCCCCTATGTCTGACAGAGAGGGGAAGCAATAAGGAGACGCCCTATACCACTCATAATCATCAGAGAAGAAAAAAATATTACTTGTTTTCTGATTTTAATGGAAGAGTATTTGTATTCACATCACTGAGTATTAGTCATTCAATAGATAAAAGGAATATTTTAAACTTTAAAGGCTACCTTAGTGTCACTTTAAGAAGTGGGGATGAGACCCCAGGGGAAGTGCTCAAGTCCTGGAGAATTTATTTTGACTATTAGAAGTGGTTTAATATTTGGGAGTTCGTGGTTCTGTGCATTTTAAAATCTATGCATGGAAATCTATGTTTTTAACTCTAATGTTTTACCTTATAATTTTGACACTATTTGGGTATATTTGTGCTTCATCTTCTAACAAGTGTGCTATACCTATATTGTTTTGTCTGTTTTCAAGATTAATCTATTAAGTGGTTTACATTTTCTATGCATCTTTCAAAAGGCACTTGAGATGCTTTTATTATATTTTCTAAAATATTTACTAGGTGTAATGGCTAGGAACATGTAACATTTAAAAAATAAAGTGCAGACTCAAAGAGGTTAGAGAGGAAATTTTATTTCTCTCCTCTGTGTAATTTAGTAGGCAACTAACAACTACAGAGACGATTTACCATTAAAAAAAAAAAAGTCAGTGTACTGTAATTCCTGAGAAATCTTAAGTATACATACCAAAAATAACCCAATTTAGTTTATGGTTGTAAATAAGTCAGATAGGAAGAGTTTGGAGTCTTAGACAGGATCAAACTTTGTGTCTTCAGAAATAAAGGTAAATAATGAATGAATGAGAATTTTTTTAAAGGAAGAAGTATAGAATAAGAAATAAAAAGATGCTCAACTTAAACATATGATCAAATTACTCTATGACTTTTAAAACTGATGATTTGGCAATTAAAGTTTTAAAGTTCTTTCTCTTATTATATTACCCACCTCTTGAATGCAAAGTGTCCAAAACTATATAATGGAAAACAGATTTCTCTAGGCAGTTATCCTTTCTGTTCGGGTTGGATGAATTCAACTGGAAATGGTTACATTTTTATTCTCAGTTTTCTTTTGAAACATACTCACAGAATAATTATAGCATAATTACGGAAAACAGTAAATATTTGAGAAAAATCAAGGTCTGGCTTTATGGATTTGATACATGGCAACTTTCTTTAAAATTAAGAATAATTTATGCAGCGAAATGGGAAATGATCAAAGTGGAAGAATCCAAGAAAAACCTCAGAAAATTATAAAGATGTAAGAAAAATGATACAGAATTCTGTGAAGGTTCCTTCTTAATGTCCCACTTCAGTCAACCAACTATTGTGAAACGATAGGGCGGAGATGAAGGGAAGCTTAAAACAAAAGACTTCCTTTCTCTATGCCTGTTTCTTTTGCCAAGGGTTGTTGCAAACTCTTGAAAACACTGTTTAAACATAATACATTTGGGTACTTTCAGTCTTCCAGGGATTGTGTGTATGTGTGTGTGTGTTGGGGGGGGGGGGGGGGATAGTGCCCCAAGTTGACTGCCCTTGAAGTAACAGAAAAAGAAAAATCTAAACTTTTCAAAAATGGCAAAAACCAAAGTTACCCGACTCGCGGAGGTTGGAACAAAAAAGTAAAAGACACTTTATTTAAAGGCACAGCTCATTTCACTGTCCGGGCTCCACGCTTGGTAGCTGAGAGATGGCTGGCTTTGCGTCTGGTTTCTAAAGAACCACGAGGAGCAGAGCTATGGACAGGATTGTAAATTGGGAGCGTTATTTTCGACTTATTCGGCTTCACAAAAAGCTGCTGTTGCTAAAAGCATAGCGCCCACAGCCGCACACCAGTCGGCTGCCATCCTCATCCTCCCTTTCCGAGCATCCAGCGCGAGCAGAGCCAGAACCTGGAGGGAATCCTGGACCCGCAACCTGATTCCGCTCTGCGCCGATTGGCTCATGCTTCGGACTCCGCCCCCGAGGTTGAGGCTGCCGTTTCGCTGGGACCCGCCCCTCGGCCCTGGGAATCGCCTCCTGGCAGGCCGGCTGTGCTTGCCATTCAGTCAGAGTGGCGGAGGCTCTCGGATCGGAGCCCCGCCCCCTCCCCCCTAATTGATATTATTGGAGTGTGGAGCAAGCGGCCGGTCTGCAGTCGGAGACTTGCAGGCAGCAAACACGGTGCGAACAGGAGGGGGGGAAATAAAAAAATCTAAACGTGGAGCAGCCGGCCTGGGACCGAGAAGGGGAATCGATGCAAGGAGCGCAGTAATAATAATAGAAACCCACTTCGGAGTAAACAGCATTTTAAAAAGCTGCGACTCAAGATAACTGAAACCTAAAATAAAACCTGCTCATGCACCATGGTTTTTCAAACTCGGTACCCTTCATGGATTATTTTATGCTACATCTGGCTGCTCCGCTTTGCACACACGGGGGAGGCGCAGGCTGCGAAGGAAGGTAAGGCGATGGGAAAGCAAAGTTTGTTCTGACTTATTTATTTAGCTGTCTACCTGCACGAGCCGGCTCATCCGCGGCGCTGCCGGCCGCGCCTCCGGCGCCGGTCGACCCTCCCCCGCCGGCTCTCCGCCCCCTCACCGCTCAGGCAGCTCCTGGAGGACTGGCAGGCAGCTAGCCAGTATTGCTGCAACCTCCTGCAGCCCCGTGCCCGGGGCCGTCTATCCGGTGGGAGCGAGATTTCAAGCACTGGCAGTCCGGAGGGCAGAAGCGGCTTTGGAGGGTGCAGGGGTGGGGTGAAAGGGACGGCCGGTGAGCTCATTCCCTAGGACCTCGGGCGGGTCACAGCTCTCCTTTCACCCCTTTCCTCCTCTCCCTTCTCACTGTGTCACCTCCTGTGGGAGCTGCGGCCAGAGTTGGGTTGGAGACTGAGGAGCGCAGCTCCTAGCGTTCACACCAGCCCTCCAGCGAGCGGCGGGAGCCTGGAGCCTTCCCAGAGTGCCTGAGACTTTTGTGAGCTCCGAACATTCGGGTTACTAATGAAGTGCTCACTGCGTCGGTGGAGGCGGCGCGGGCCTGCGGTTGGCGCTCGGCCGCCTGCGCGGAACAATAACGCCTAGAAGGTGAAGCGGGGCGGGTGCGCCCCGCACCCGGCGGGCGGGGATGTCTCCATTCAGGGCGCTAAGCGCGCGGGGCCCAGCGACCGTAGGGCAGCGGCAGCCCAGCGGGCACTGTAGGGATGGGATGCAGGGGTTGGGCTGGAGCTGTGCAATTTGTAATGAGATGCCGCTGGGTGATTAGAAGTCTCCAATCATTTGACCCAGAGTCCTGCAGTACAAGTGGCCAAACCTTGAGGAAGATCTAGGGTTAGTTCTTGTGGGAAGATCAGGTTTCATTTGGCCAGCTAGACACGCCTGTGTATAGTTATTATTTTTATTTTTCCTTCGTCTTTGAACCATTGACAAAAGGTAAAATACCTTTCCGTGCCTGTAGTTGGAGCTGAGGAAAAATAAATCCTGTCAATGGAAGTGTCTTGCTTCTGATCAGTGTCACAACCCCCAACCCCATCTTCCAGGCCATATCCATGTGTGTGTGTGTGTGTGTGTGTGTGTGTATTTTAAGCAAAATACGAATAACAAGGCTAGCGAACTAGTCTTGTTTCTGAAGTGTGAAGTGCAAGAATCTGTTGGATTTAGGTCATGGTGGTAATAAAGAAGGGGAGTAGTATGGGTCCTCGCTATTTCTATTCCTGAAAACTGAGTGATTTGGTGCTGCTTTTTTATTTTCTTCGTGCACTCCTCTTCGTTCATTGAACCCCCCCCCCCAACCCAGTGCCATATTCTACTCTTTCAAATAGCCTGACCTTGTGACCCCAGTCTGCACATCTGCATTCTCTGTTGGCGCTGAATCCATTGAGAGAAAACCTTGCCTCTGAGCTAATGGTTATGTGTTTGCGAAGGGACCGACCTCTAATACAAATAATAATACATCCATACACACTAAAATCCACATTTGGATTGTTTTAACATTAGTGATCAGAAACATGAAGCCCTGTCTCCTTGTCGTGATTCCTTCTGAGTAGCGGGACCGGAGGAAAAGTTTACACCGCCGTGGCAAAGACCAGCGCGCGAGCACACACAGACTCCAGCAGGAGTTTGAGCTATAAATAACTGCATCACTAGGGGGAGAGGTTCCTGCAGCCAGAATGTCTCGCTCACTTGGCTCTTCTGGGTGCAAATTACGTGGAGTGGATTCTGATTCTAGGAGCCTGCATTTTCTAAATGCAGGAGTGAGATGTTTAAGACCGGTGGAGGGGATTGCTCTATGGTGGGTGGTCGGCAAGTGCGCCCGACTTCTCTAAGCTCCCCGTGCTCAGTGGTGATCAAGAGCTGGCGTTCTGGGAGCGAACTAGCTTCAAGGTGGCCCGCGGCGTCGTGGCACACAGGGGTAAGCGCCAAGAGCGCCTCGAGCAAATATTCAGTCTCTAGGATGGTTCGAAGTGGCTGTAAGAATAAAAGGGACCCCCCTGCCTCTACTCTCCCCACGCACTTTCTCTCGCGGAGGTCAGTTTCCCTTCCCGCTACTGGAAGGGCGGGTATAAGTCAGTCTGACGCCTGGAAGCTAAGTGCAGCTGCTGCTTTTCTTTTCTGTAAATGTAGCCGCCACTGTTCCCTCAGAGGAGACGCTTCCCGAAAGCGTCTCTCCTGCTCCCCGCTCTTTCTGGAGCAAGGGCGCCACCGGCTCCCTGGAGTGCCCAGGTCTGGCGAAAGCCTAATGGATGCTTGGCGCGGCTGGCGCGCCGGTCTCGAGCCCCCGCCCCGCCCCGCCAACGGCCCCGCCCCGCCCCCGGCAAGCCACCGCTGCCGGCGCGCAGCCCTGGACTGGCTGGGTCCCGGCGCGCTTGCTTCTAGCTTCCGTGCACCCACCCACGCCGGCCCGCGGGCAGGTTGGGGAGCTAGTCAGCCCTGAACCTGTGTCCCGCGTCCGGATCGGCTGCGGGGATGCGCCTCCGTGGAGATAAGGGAGGATAGCTCTTGGTACTCCCAACAGAAAGGATAAAGCACGCACTTGGGGTTTATCCTGAGAGTGGACCCGGGGAAATGATATACCGATCACTTGAGAGCTGCTTCTGATTAAAAGCTCTGTGGTCGATTTTTTGTTGTTGTTGTTTTGTTTTGATATGTTGATTGCTCTCTTGTTTGTCATCACCACCCTACTGTGGCCCTTTGCTCCCACCAGTGGGCTGATCTGAGGGGTGATGAAATGGCTATGGCAGTAAAGGATAATCGCAATGTTAATTTCATTCCCCCAAACCACCCGAGAAGGTCACCTGGATTTTGAATCCAGTTGTCTATTGTTAGTGGGAAACAAACAGTTTCAAAAGAAGATATCAGGAACCCATAGTTTCCTTGTGCTTCATTTCTCTTGCTGAGGGTACAAATAAACTTTAAAATTTACTTTTCACTTAAATTCACTAATCCAACGATTTGTTAATGGTGACAAATGGAAATACAGATTGATATGTTCTAAGTGTGTGAGTGTTTCCTAATTGAAAGGAAGTCGAATGTTTGTGGTTAAGGGTTTTTTTTTTTTTTTTTTTTTTGAGACATAGACTCCCTGACAGTCTTAAGTGTAAAACACTGAAACAAAAACTGATGTCTCTATGTCTTATCTTCAGTTACGGGAAATAACTTTGACGTGTGTGAAGCAGTTGAACACATAATCAAGGGCTCCTTTGTTTTCTCAACACGTTTTCATTACCTTTCAAGTAGTACACACTTTCCCTCTAGTGATTGAGAATTGTTCAGTATTTAAAAAGCTCATTCAACTACATATTTTTAAGTCAAAATTTTAACATTTTGCTAGGGGTAACGTTAAGTATATTTACATACCCCAAAACATACGTTCGTATGATTTCTGACCAAATTAATGAATTTGCCAAAATACAGTAGTCAGATAAATATTTTTAAATCCATTAACTTATGTAATTCTGAATCCAGTTTGATCCAAAGAGTTGTCTTTATAAGAGTAACTGACCAAAATGCAATAAAATTATCAAATTGGAAATATGATGTGTATCAATGTATAACATTCTAATGCATTATACTATGAATTCTACTCACAATATTTATTATGCTTTTACAAATATTAAATTAATTGCACTATACCTTTTGATAGGAAAAAGTGGAATACAACTGGTTTTAGAATTCAGTTCAGAGTTTAGATATACCATTTTGAGAATTTGCTAATTGAAATATTCAGAAATCTAAAAAAGTACTCCAAGCTGATGTTTGATTAACTAAAAAATGTGCCTTGTAGATATTAGTCAATTTGTTTTTCTTGTAATATTGCTTAACAGTTTTGGTATGTATAAGTTATTTTGGGAAGAGAGAAAACACTGAAAAGTTTCTTTTTTTAATAAACTCCAATTCTCAGGAGAGAGTAGGAAGTACAGTTTGCAGAATATTATAAATTAGTGACTGACTGAAGGGTAATATGGGAATTACACCTTGTTATATTCATGCTGTTGTATTTGAGAAAGTCTGAAGAGTTCAGTGGTTTATAAAACTATAACATGCAGTTGCTGTACAGTAAGTGTATCACATTTCAATTTTTTTACTGTTAATTTTTATGTCTTAAAATTTATTTTAATATTTTTAATTAAAGAATACCAAATAATATGCTAGTATTTACTATCCTTTTTCCTTCAGAAAGTAGAGTATACTTTTATAAAGTAGCTGTTCTTTCCATCATTCATTTATATAAATAATTATCTGAATATCATAAATCATATAATGGTAATCATATTAAAAATTTCATATTAAAATGCTTACAGATATGTTTAAATTTTTCATGTAACATTTGGAAATAAAACTTTCTTTTTCAGTACTACTGCTGGATTCTAAAGCACAACAAACAGAGTTGGAATGGATTTCCTCTCCACCCAATGGGGTATGTACTTTTACTCATAAAATACCATCATTTATTCTTTAAAGTAAGAAACAAAATCTCCCTCTGTTCCCCAGGGGAATTATTCACGTTCTTATATTTAAAGTGTTTTAAATTGAAACATGTTGTTCAGTGTTTTGTTGTGTTATGAGACTTGATTTCTCTCAATAGATAAAACATATTTAGAACTTAGGGAAATGGGGAAAAATATCCCTATAACCATAGCTTTTGAGTTCTTATTGTGAGTGGAATCATACCTCAGAGTCTAGGCTATAAATACTAGCTAATTACAGGGGACATTCCCTTGACAAACTCACTTAAACCTTTCTTTTGTTGTTGTTGCTTTTTACTTCTGTAATATAATCACCAGATAGGTTGTGTGTAATTCTTTAAAATAGTAAGTAATCTTTTATCCTTTTTAAAAATTAGTTTCACCATCTTTCATAACATACTCTAAAATGTAACTAAAAACGTAATATGTTAAACATTGAGGCATAAGATTTGCTGTAAAAATTATCCATATTTATATCATATGATATCTGCTGTTATTAATCTGTAGTGATGGCAGAATGACATATTACTGTAAAAAGTCTGCTACAGTAAATGTAACAATAAAAATCCATCAGAACAGGAATAAACCTTAAAAATGTTGACATTTTAAATATTTTTAATATATTTAGAAAAAACATTTTTTTACATTTTGTTTACTAGCCATGGTTTACTGTCTTAATTCTAATTGTGGGATAGGGCACATTCTTCATCCCTTATTAAGGCAAAGTGCTCTGAGAAAGGAGAACATACAATGTTACTTAAGTTTGCTTCACCACATGAGGAAATCTGGAATCAAAAGAGCTTGAATTCTAAGGATATAAAAACTGTTAGATACTGCAAATAGAAGAATGAAAGTCTGAAAGGGATTTTTTAGTAGAAGAACAATATCATAAAATCAATAAGTCTTGAACTGAAATTTAGTTTTAAGAATGCACAATGTGGACAATTTTAATCCGCCTAAAACATTCAGAGTTTTCATTACATTAATTTTTGAGAGATTGCTTTAGATCATATTTCAGTTATTTTTACTAGTCACAATAAATTATGAAAAAGTGACAAATATTTCATGATTAATATAAAAGTACACTGAGTTTGAGGTATGAATGTAGTACTTTCCTGAAAGTGAAGTGGTTTCCCTGAGTAAAATAATATTCATAATAAAAAAGAAAGATATTAATGATTAAAAATGAAACACATTTCTTTCCAGTAACAGATTTAGTGTATTTTCTACCATTCATCAATTAAAACAAAATAAAGATAGAACATAGTTTTCTCCCTGAGGAGGAGTAAACTGTTTTATGATTGTAGTATTTCACTCATGTAATGCACAAAATCATAATATGACTTTCAATGTTATCTTGGGCTCAAATGGGCATTTTATCAGTCCAGAGAATCTTGGGCTAATAGTTAAACATATATGGCAGTAGGAATCAACAAATATTATTAGAACATGGATTGACAATATTTTCCATGTATGACACAGATTGATTCAAATGATTAAAAAGAAAAATGGAAAAATATTGTTATTAACACATAAGTTTTGAAAAAAAATATTTTGCAAGTATGCTATAAAAATGCAGTGCCTAAAGTAAGACACCTTTCCCAATAGTGTCATTTGTGAAATGACTGCAGTTTTAGATTATAAAGCAAGAGTTGCTTTAAATGTATTTATGTAGTCTCTCTATTTGTTACTTACATCACAGTTTTCTTGAAAATTTCTCCTCAGAAATAAAGCAATTTAAATGCAAATTTTAATTAATTGAGCCTCATATGAAATAAAGTTAATTTTTCATGCATATATTAAAAATATTCTTGAGGTAGATATAGGAATTTTTTGAAATATATTGCTTCTTAAGTTAGCCTTAGTTTCTGCAAACTGTGGAATTGTCAAAAAGAGTAAACTTATCTTTGAGGATTTTGCTTTTTTTGGTAGATTAACATTACTAATCTTACTTCATTTGATAAATTTAATCTAATCAAGAGACCAAACTCTACTCATCCAAATCTATAAGTTTTGTATATTTGGCTTAATGCCAAACAGAGGAGTATAGGCAACTAACTGAAACAAAGCAAAAAATGAGAGTACTGTTAACTACTCAAACAAAATTTGTGCTAAAGAAGGTGCAGTATGAAAATTGGATCTTTACTATATATGAAGACCTTTGGCGATACTAGCCTGACACAATAAAATTGTAGCTAATATTATAGAACTATTACAAGAAATTTATAAATTGTAATGTATTGCTATTTTGTCAGTTCTGTTAATTTCCTAAGAACAGTTTTAAAAGTAGATAATAATATTATATAGAGCAAATAAATTGATACACTAATCATGTTTAACAAATAAAACTCATTATCAAATACTTGTTATATTATTTTCCCATCTTTTCTTGAAATAATAGTTTAAATAGTACATCCTAAGTGATTTTGGACTTGCGTACTATTATAATTTATACTTGACATGTGTGATTGCAGAAATTAATACAAGTAGATGCATTTCAGTATTAAGGTATCATAAATGTAAAATAGAAAATTTCCCAATAAGAGTAATAAATAACAGAAACTATTCTTATTCTAGGCTTTTAAGACTATTAGATAAAATGAATTCTTTACTGTTGAGCACTAGGTAATACAATATATGGTTCAACAATCTTTGAAATTGTTACTAAACTGCCTGTTCTTTTTGTTTTTTGGTGAAAACATAATTTTGGTTGGTTTGTAGTATATATTGTATCAGAATATGAATAGACATTTTTAAACTTCTGATGTTTCCTGACAGAAAGCATATTACAAAATGAGGTACAACTTGCTGATTTGTCATGTCTATTGATTGTCTATTGAAAACAATTTTTATAAAGACGAATCACTTTTGGAACTATTTATTTATGGTTATGTGGCTTTATGTACAATATTAAAACAGTACTTCAATATATGAACAACTCTGTAAAATGCTACTCCCTTATAGCTCATTTTGAAAAGATTGTAATATATCTCACCTTGTAAGTAACATGTCATTGAATACGTTTATATTTCACTTCTCTAGGCATTTTTCTCCCCCATGTTTTTAGGTAATTTGTAAGTTGTAATATAATATGGCCACTTAAAATGTCAACTGAGTTTTCAGAAATTCTGCCATGCATCCAAGTGTATATACTTTAAATGGTAATTTAAATAATTGTGAGTCTTAGTCTATAAAAATTGTAATCTCAGTGGAGAATACAGACATAAGCAAACATGCAAAAAGAAATGCTAATATACTAGCAAACAGATATTAAACAAAATGAAATATTTATTGTATGTTCAAACAAAGCAAGCAACATAAGTGATGTTCCAAGCTGAAGTGGAAATCCTTCTTTTCTCTGGTTTGCAGTGTTTGTTGAGATAGGAATCAACATAACACTTTCAATGATCCACATTTGGGATATAGTTCTTCTATGCATTTTGAAAAGCAGCATGTTATCTTTTTGTTGTTGTTGTTCTGAATAACTGATGACCTTTTTTTTTTTTAATTTTTACAGTGGGAAGAAATTAGTGGTTTGGATGAGAATTATACTCCAATAAGAACATACCAGGTGTGCCAGGTCATGGAGCCCAACCAAAACAATTGGCTGCGGACTAACTGGATTTCGAAAGGCAATGCACAAAGGATTTTTGTAGAATTGAAATTCACTCTGAGGGATTGTAACAGTCTTCCTGGAGTACTGGGAACTTGCAAGGAAACCTTTAATTTGTACTATTATGAAACAGACTACGATACTGGCAGGATTATAAGAGAAAACCTCTATGTAAAAATAGACACCATTGCTGCAGATGAAAGTTTTACCCAAGGTGACCTTGGTGAAAGAAAGATGAAACTTAATACTGAGGTGAGAGAGATTGGACCTTTGTCCAAAAAGGGATTCTATCTTGCCTTTCAGGATGTAGGTGCTTGCATAGCTTTGGTTTCGGTCAAAGTATACTACAAGAAGTGCTGGTCCATTATTGAGAACTTAGCTATCTTTCCAGATACAGTGACTGGTTCAGAATTTTCCTCTTTAGTTGAGGTTCGAGGGACATGTGTCAGCAGTGCAGAGGAAGAGGCGGAAAACTCCCCCAGGATGCACTGCAGTGCAGAAGGAGAATGGTTAGTGCCCATTGGAAAATGTATCTGCAAAGCGGGCTACCAGCAAAAAGGGGACATGTGTGAACGTAAGTAATATGTGCTCTTATGATTCTTTGAATTTTTTTACTACTTCAGATGTCAAACATTTTAAGTAATAATAATAATCATTCAAATAAATAAATCTGCTCTATATAATCTGTTCAATTCAGTAGATCTGACACAAAGTCACTATCGGACTTAGCAAATGCCTGGTGTGGTATCTGCACTAATGATGTGTTGTAAATATTGGTGACAATGATATTTGTTAAAAAAAAATTAATTTGTCCTGATATGAAACTCAACAGTTTCACTTTTGGCTATGGGGCTTAAGATAGGAGACCAGATAGGTGGACTAGAATTAGGAATATTAATGTGACATTAATAAGGATTTAATGAAATGTGATTTCTCCTGTTTTTAATGAGTGAAAAATAGAAGTTCAACTGGACTGCTAACAAGAGCTCCACAGATAGGCATGGCATAAAATAATATCATTTCAAACTTTAGAAATGTTTATTATAAATAATATAACTTTGATAAAAACTCATTATTTTTCGCTTTATAAGTCTGCATTTACTTCTATCAAAGATGTATTTCTTTACTGGACTAGAAGTTAAAATGAGTGCTCTTCTGAAAGTCATGTTACAATGGGCGACATTTTTGTGAAAGTGAACCAAAGTGAAGTTTTAATTATCTCTGTTTATCAGATGAATGTTCTTTATTTATTTTTAGACAATACTAGCATATAAATTACTAAATCTTTTTCTTTCCTTTGTAAAACAGGCTTTTCTCTTAATAGAATTATGTGGTCAACTGGTCATTATTTTTCATTTTAAAGCAATGCCACATAAACCTTCCATATTGATATTATTCTACATGTAGGTCCTCAAAAAATCTTATTATAAAATTATATTACTTATATCACATATGACTTAAAATATATAATACATCACCAAAATAACTTTTGTATATTTTTTATAATCCTATAACAGCAGCCTATGAGGTAGTTTAGAGGGGACTAGAACTAATCATACCTATTATAACTGAATTTGCTTGATAACATTATTTTCAGACAGTGTATTCTGTGCTTTGCATATTAGCTTACTTAATGAGGTAGGTATGATTATCATGTCTATTGTAGAATGTAGAAAGTTTTCTCTAAGAAGGGTTAACTAGCTTGCTTGGCATTATATTAGTAATATTTGCCTTTCCTTACAAAGTTAAGGCATTCTGACTCTAGGGCCTGGGCTTTTAGCAGCAAAATCACTATTGTTTCTAAGAAGATTCCTAGTGAATATTCTTTTTCATTGCTGAAGTCAAATGTCTCACATGTAGCAATGTTGTGCCCCATATATCATATAAAAATCATGTTGTTTCCCTATAAATTTTTTTATTTTACTGAAATAACTGAAGAAATAACAATTTAAAAATGTATTTAAATCTGTGATGTCCCAAACAGTCACATATAGCTCTTGGCACTTTGGAAAGTAGCTCCTCTGAATTCTCATGTGTTGTAAATATGAATTACAAACTGGATTTCAAAGGCATACTACAAAACAGGAATATAAGATATGTCATTAGTAATTTTAAAAAAATGTTTACTGCAAGCTTAAGTCATATTTTAGATACATTGAGTTAAATTTAACATAATATCAAAATTAATTTCAACTGTTTCTTTTTATTCTTTTCTTATTTTAGCTACCTGAAATTCAGAAAGGACACACATTGCTCACATTATATTTCTCTAGGAAATATAAAACATTTTTAGATAGAGTAACTGCAAATATATTTTCCATACTGTTTGAAGAGTTAAATCCTTTATTAGGATGGTTGCTAAACATAGAAAGTACTGTGGCTCAGAACTCAGTTATTTTTTGTACTTTATGTGACAATGTAAAGTGAACTCTAAGCAAAGCAAATAGAGATGTTGTAGGTTCAGGTCCCGTAGAACAGCTTAGCAGAATCTTTTCGTACCCCTTGAGGGAGTCAAATCTAATTCTCACTGTCTTATTTCTTGGCCCCTCACTGATAGTATTTTTAATCTAGTGGAAAAATCCTTCAGGTCCTATAGCATATGTAGAAATCAGTACTAGGAGGTAGAATGCTATTGCACAGGGTATGGATGAAAGTATTTCCACTGAACAAATTCTTGCTAGTGTACTAATCATTCAGTGAAAGGTTTATTGACCCATTCGAAGTTACTTGAAAGTGATGGTGGTTTCAAGGGTAATAATTATTTCAAAATTTTAAGAACACGACTACACTTTTGTTGTAAAAGCAGCCAGTTTTAATATTTTGCAGATCTTACTTGATGTGGAAATAGAATTTAAAAGTTTTTCACATTTAAAAAATGGAAAAATAAGAAAAGAACATATACATACATATAGAAGTACAAAATTAAATTTGCTTAAGAACAGAATAGGAAATAACATCAAAGGTCTTGCTGGTTTAAAATTTAAATGTTATAATGAAAATCATAGTAATTTTTTGTTTCATTTTGTGCAATTTAATTCCAGTGAGTTCTACATTTATTTTCCAAGAAAAAGCAATCAGGAAGTGTGTGAGTTCTATACATTTAAGTAGAAAATTTAATAAGAAAAAGGCTTTAACCACAATAAACAGATATATTTACTATTAAAATAAAAGTTCCCAATTTCTTCCAAATGAGCAAAACCATTTCTTTAAAAGTGGTAGTGTTAAAATTAATTGTTTTAGTTTTAAGAATTGAAAACACATTTGAATACCAAGATTATTGCAAGTTGTATGATGTACCTAAACAAATAAACTAAAATTATTCCACTGCCATCTCCATGAACCCTGCCTTGGAAAAGATGGAATTAGGTATTAATAGTGTCTATTTAAAAAAATGATTAAAGAAGGCAAGATGCCTCCTATGGTATCTTCTATGTACATTGCTGTAAGTCAGGTAAATTGTTTATGACATAACTTTCTTAATTTTTTAGACGTGGTGATGTTGACAAAGGAATTAAATACCTTAAACTTAACTATGGAACCATGTTCATTTGCAAAAGCACTTCTCTCCCTGGCATAATTCCAGTGCATTGCTGTAAGAGTGCTTGTCTCTGGATTCAATCCAGGCCTGCCTTTATAATATTCCTCCTGTTTCATTTCAATGATTCTGTTAAGAGTTTGAAAACAAATCCAGTACCATATTGAGGAAAACTAATGTTTTGAGAGAGGATGCTGGTGAGTCCCTAGCCAAACAAGGGTGGTTAGTCACTTAAAGGCAAGTTTATCTGGGCACTTCCTGATGTGGTAGCCCATTGTATGTTTGATAAGAGGATAATATGAAATATGAGTAACGATGAAAACTGATAACAATTTTGATCGGTTGATATGATTTTTGTTTCATGAGCTTGAAAAAATAACTCAGTTTTAAAAGCAAATTATTTCTCAGGTCTTGTAATTCTTAAATATAATGCTTTCATGAGAATACATATTCACAGTAATTTTTAAAATATATAATTCAAGTTAGTAGGCTTTTATTGTCACAATTTATTTTGAAAAATTTACTTTTAAGTTGCAATGTCTATTTAAACTAGCCAATATATTTTCCTAGATTAAAAATGTGATTCTTTAAAAATATAGAGCACATTATTATGTTTTACATATACAAAAAAGTTTTGAGAATACTAATAAAATTGTATAATGAAATATATTTTAAAATTTTATAATTTCTGTATCACTTTATTCAACTTAAAAATTAGAAAGGTGTTTTGAGATGTGTGGAGCTCAGGATTATGACTTGGATTTGTGTAAGAAATTCAGTGTATGCTGAACAAACATGTTCATTTTCTCATTTAATCCTTATCACATCATTAAGAGATGGAAAGTTTTATGTTTTTCTCTTTCTTTCAATATATGAAGGAATCAAAGCCCAGAGACATTAATAAGTAATATAATTAGATGAGAATTCAGAATCCTGATTGTCAATTTGTCTTTTTTCCCCACTGTACTATACTGCTACCCTAAAATTTTCTCTGGAGTTTTCCAGTTATATCTTAGTTACTGAACAACTGATGAAACATTATTTTAAGTAGGGTAACTAAATGCCCAATTTGCCTGGAATAATTATTTTACTTGTCATAATTGCTTCTTTTCAATTTTAAATGTGCTTTTTCTGATGAAATGATAAAATATATCATTTAACTATCAAAGTTAAGGATGTAATGTAGTTTCATGCACATGTTCCAGAACATAGAAATGTGATTCACTTAACCGTATTTATTGCTCAATTTTAAATTTTCTGAAAAGTACAGAAATTTCCTTTTTAGTGATTTTATGCATATAGATGAATAATTTTCAGTTTAAGGATTTTACTTGATAGTCACTAATTACTTTCCATTAATAAGTTAGCAGTTCTACAAATATTTTAATGTATAATTATGCACACATTGCATTTATAATTCTATAAATTAAAACCTGCATTCAACCTAATAGCTGTAACAATATTTAAAACCTGTTTCTTGATTAGATATTTGGAAAATCATTCTTATTTTTTATAGACAAGCAACATGTAAATTATAAAACCAGTTTTTATGATAACAAACAAGTCTTTAATTAAATAGCATATACTGAAATGGAAGATAACCACAAGGTGAATGTGAGTTTTTTAAATAGAGTTTTAAAATTCGGTCTCCACACTTACCAGGTACATAAAGTAGGACAAATTCTCTAAACTTTAATTTCTTTAAGTATAAAATGGGGCTAATAAAAATAGTACCTCCCTCACAGCATTCATGTCAGAATTTAATGAAATAATACATGTTAAAACTCTAAGAATAGTATCTGGGACATAGCAAATAATCAATGAATACTTGCTGTTATCTTATTATTAATAATGCAACAAGGAGTTTGCTAAGTAATCTCATAGTAATGAGTGAATGAGCATGTATCTTATAGACCAGGAATAGTTAAATATCCTTTGAACCAATAATCTGTCTCAGTTATTTTACTTAGGAGGATATTTAAATAATAGAACTTTTGACCTAGGCTTTTTTTCTCTCCATATCTTCAAGTATTGGAAAC